TGTACAATAGATGCTATAATAATGAAAGGGAAAGAAAGTGCTCAAAAGGAAAGAACACCTTGCAGGTATACACATATAACTGTATGTATGTTTGAGTATGTAAGATAGATGACCATACTACTAATTCTCTGTTAGTTTATCAGAAATATTAATTGTGCTGTCATTGTTTGATTGTCTGTTCACTTGTAAGCTTAGATTTTGTAACCTGAACAACCTGAACAACTGCTTCTAAGATAACAATATGTAATATATTAACTAGTGTTGATTTCTTACTGTTATTTTTTGAAATTCTGTATTATTCCTACCCTTTTTTCTGTTTTGCTTTTTAAAAATAAAAATTTTTTAATTTTTCTAAAAAAGATTATCCATATTTGTGATTTTTCATATTTTAAATATAATTTATATTTAAAGCATATTTTGAAATAATTTTACATTTAAATCAAGCTTTAAATATAATTTTATTAAAGGAGTTTTATTAAAGGAGTTTTCTAACTCATTATTTGAAAATCAGTATTTATGTGAGATTCTGAGTTTTGTCTCCTCTACACAGCATAGTTTACACAACACACTCTACTTTCATTTATTTTGTTTTTTTAATTTTAAAAAGGGTAAAACAAAACCAATCAAAATAAAACAGTATAAGTCATATAGGACTTCAAAACCTTACATAATCTACAAGAGTTGCCATAATGCCTTTTAATGTCTTCAAAATAGCTGCAAATAACTTTGGACATAATAAAAATCAAACAGCACAGAATAGAAACAAAAAAACAAAACAATGAATGCAATAAAGGGTTTCAAAACAAGTGTATAGTAAATCCAAAATTGCTACCATAATATATCCTGTTATCTTTTAAATAGCTGCTCTTGCCATTGGATTTGACATAAACAAAACAAAAGAGAATAAAACCTAACCCAACAAAACCATGGAAAAAATATAGGACCTCAAAGCAAGATCATAGGGAATCAACAATGGCTACAAGCCTCAGGAGAACCTCCCTAGATGCCACACCGCATACCACTATCCTCTAAAGCTATGATCAGACCACTGGCCCTAGAGTTGCAACATTAGTGAAACACCAAAGCACCATAGGCATCCAATTGCATTTTATGGGGAGACCTTGGGGTCTGGCTGTGCCTGGTCCAGAGGTGGCCCACGCGTGGCACATGGCACTGGTTCCCAGACTGGGTTTGTTTGTTGATGTGCTTTTGTTTGCTCTTCCCTAGACCATGAACAGCCCACCCTACTTTCATTTAATAGAAAAAATATAAAACAAAACCCAAGCTAAATTATAAATAGAAAGTTAGCATTTACCTGCATTTTAAAAACATCTCAGAGCTAAAAGATCATTAATTAATAAAGATCTGAACCATTCAATAAGCACATGGTAGCTCTCTTAAGGCAATCTTGGTGATTATAAAGTTTTCAGAATCTTAAATAAGGATGCTCCCAGAGCACCCCATGAAGAGAGACACAGTGCAGAGATGAAGAGTACAGTTTTGCATCTGTAAAATGCTATTTTCCTACCATTCTTGACAATTTGAACACTCAAAATACCTGCATTTCTTTGTGGAATTGTAGGTCTATTGAAAACCCACAAGAAGGCCACTCATTTATGTCACCTGATTAGAACATTATGCACCAAAATTTGCTAATCATAAGTAATACAGTATACATATGTTGCATAGATAGCACAAGCCACTGTTATTCTATTTTAACTGCAACTCCAGTGAAGTCATAGTTACATTTCTCATGAATAGCTGTGCTTTTTTCAAAAACATTTTTCTGTTCCATGCCAAAAATGGTAACTATGAAAAACATTGAATAACCTTGATAAATGGGGTCAGAAAAAGGATGGTAATAAATTGATTCAAATCCTAGAGAATTTATTCAAATCAAATATATTTTGATAATGAGGTCTTAGATATAATCTCTTGGGAAGGTTTACTCAAACTCCTAAAAACATAACCTGATGCAATATTATGAAAAATCCTCTAGGGAAAAGAACATTTACAAAACAAGTATATCAAATTAATTTGGTTCAATAATTTAAAGCAAAATGTTTAAGATAAAAGCAATATATGGATCATAAAAGTGAAATTATTTCATACTACAATGTTAAATCATTCTATTTGGGTACTGTCATAATTATAAGAATATATTGTTTATTTGAAATTTGGAAGCTGTATTTATTTTGTCTACATTGACTCAAAAAATAGTACTGTTTTTATGATCCCATTTGGCTTACTAAAACACCATGTAAAATTTTCCCCAAAAGCATGATGTTATTTAAATAGCTCTAACTTTGGATCTACTTGTCTAAAAATATTAAGGCAAAATTAGTGTTCACAATAAATCTCAAAAGATTTGACAATATTTTGTGGGTTTGAGTATTAAAAGTTCCTAGGAGAAACCTGTGTTTTACCACTACAAAAACCTGAAAATCTAAATAATTCAACAAATACCAAGTTGTAATTCTTTAATCCCCACCACTTTAATGCTTCTTTTTTTATTTAAAGAAAAAAACAAAACAGAAAAAAGAGTATAAATAATACATAATTTCAAAAAATAAACACTAAGAAATCACTAGTTGTTAATTACATATTGCCCACCTACAAATAGTTGTTCAAGTTACAAAAGTGAAGTATACAAAGTGGACATTCAAACAGGACATTCAAACAGTTCTGTTCAACTATCCAACAAACTTAGTAATATAGTTATCAATCTTATACACTTAAACATGCATGCAGTTATATCCTTTAGAGCATTTTCTTTTTCTCTCTTTTTTTACAATAGCAATTACACATTTTGGGTTTTATTATTCCTAAATTTCTTATTACTTTTTACACTAGAGACACAATGTGATATTTATAAGTATGATTCTTGTTTATTTCACTAATGAGGATAGTCTCAAGTTGTCTCCATTTGGCTATGAAGGCCTCAAGATCATCCTTTTTATAGCTGGATAATATTCCATTATGTAAAAATACCTCATCTTTTTCATCCATTCTGTGGTTGATGGGCATCTCGGTTGTCTCCAAGATTTAGCTATTACAAATTGTACTGCTATGAACATGGGTACATATATATCACTGTGATATGACCTTTTCAGCTTTTCTGGGAAAATACCTAGGAAAGGAATACCTGGATTGAATGGAAATTCCAATCCTAGTCTTCTGAGAATTCTCCATACTGATTTCCACAGTCTACACTCCCACCAACAGAGGAGCAGTGTTTCTTTTTCCCTACAGCCTCGCCAACATTTGTTATCAATTGATTTCTTGATGGCAGCCATTCTTTCCAGTGAGGTGAAATCTCAATGCTGTTTTAATTTGCATTTCTCAACTGACCAGTGATGGTGAATATTTCTTCATGTATTTATTTACTATTTGTGTATCTTTGAGAAATGTGTGTTCATCTCAGATGCCCATTTTTGGAGAAGGTCTTTGAATTTGGCAGGCTTGATGCTTTTCAATTCTTTATATGTTCTGGATAAAAGTCCTTTGTCTGAAGGATTGCTACCTAAAACTCTTTCCCATTCTGTGGTTTTTCTTTTCACTCTGTTGGTGATTTCTTTTGAAGTGCAGAAACTTTTCAATAATATGAGATCCCAGTTACTGATTCTTTGAAGTGTTTCCCATGCAGTTTGAGTTCATAAATTCTCTGCTTACCCCTATGTTTCCAAGACTTCTACCTACCTTGTCTTCCAGTAGAGTTAATGTTTCTGTTTTAATATTTAGGGCTTTGATCCATTCAGACTTTAGTTTTGTGCATGGTGATAGGCATAGATCTAGTTTCAGTCTTCAGCATGTGGAGAGCCAATTTTTTCAACACGATTTTTAAAGAGGCTCTCCTTCTTCCAGTGAACATGTTTAGCCCCTTTGTCAAATATCAGGTGGTGGAGTGTCTTTGTCTTTGTCTTTGTAGTTGTACTTGCATCTTCTAATCTGTTCCATTGACACTCAAGTCTATTTTTTTTTTTTTTTTGCCAGTACATGCTGATTTTATCACTGTGGCTTTGTAGTATAGTTTCAAGTCAGGAATTGAGATGCCTCCTGCCTTGCTTTTGTTGTCCAGAATTGCCTTTGCTATTCTAGGTTTCTTGTATTTCCAAATGAATTTTAGGAGTGTTTTCTCTAGATCTGTGAGGTATTTTAATGGCATTTTGATTGAGAGTGCATTAAATCTGTATAACAGTTTTGGGAGTATGGCCATTTTCACTATGTTGGTTCTTTCTAGCCAAGAGCAAGGAATATCCTTCCATTTTCTAATATCCTTTTCGATCTCCTTTTTTAGCATAGCATAATTTTCAGTATATAGGTCTTTTACATTCTTAGTTAGTTTGATTCCTAAGTATTTCATTTTTTATATGCTATTGTGAAGGGCGATATTTTCATAATTTCTCTTTCAGTGAGTTTTTTGTTTGTGTACAGGAATGCTATTGATTTTTGAGTGTTAACTTTGTATACAGCTACACTGCTGAATTTGTTTATTACTTCTAGTAATTCTTTTAATGGAGTTTTTTGAATCTTCTATATAGAATATCATGTCATATACAAATAGTGATAATTTAACTTTTTCCTTTCCTATCTTTATGCCTCTTACTTCTCTTTTCTGATTGCTCTGGCTAGTGTTTCTAGAACTATATTGAATAGAGTGGTGATAGTGGACATCTTTGTCTTGTTCCTGATTTTACAGTGAAGGCTTTCAGTTTTTGTCCATTTAGTGTAATGTTGGCTATTAGTTTGTCATAGATGGCTTTTATCAGATTGAGGTAAATACCATCTATTCCGAGTTTTTGAAGGGTCTTTATCATGAACATGTGTTGGACTTTATTAAAAGCTTTCTCTGCATCTATTGAGATGACCATGTGATTTTTGGTTTTGGCTCTATTGATGTGGTGTATTACATTTATTGATTTGCATATGTTAAACCATCCCTGCATTCTTGAGATGAATTCCACTTGGTTATGATGTATAATCTTCTTTTTTTTTTTAAAGGCTTAAAATGTACTTTAATAAGTTGATGCTGTATTACCACTCCATTTCTCAGAAAACTCCAAATTTAAGGTATCAGGGATAAATCAAACATGGTACACCAATAAAAATGCACAGCATACTTATCTAAGATAGGCAAGGCTAAGAGCTACTGTCAGACCTTCAGCATACAGCAACCCTGTTCCCAAGATTGTACTAAGCCTATCAAGAAAAGCTGTGAAGAGCAACATCATGGACATAAAAGGGTCATTCCTAGGACGTTCTTACCCAAGGAAAACATGGAGGCAAGTTAACACAAGAATTTTTTTAAGATATACTAAAATGAAAATCTCTAAGAGAAAATGTCTTTACTACATGAAAGGATAATATATGGGATATAACAGAACACACATAAGCTGTCTGTGACCTCTGTGGACATTTGCCTGAATCCTCATCTGGGAGCAAATGGAGCAATGGGGCTAAGGTCACTGGGAGATGGAGATGTTTGGTTTTTGTGGTATATGTGGCAGTGTCTCTGGAGTGAGGGGTGTAGAAAGCAAATAAAACACAATGGACAAAAAACCGGAATGATCAAGATTAACAGGACTCCAAGGAACCATTGTCATGGTTGCCCCAGGCCTTCAACAATTAATTATATTTGAAATTTCAGGAATGCATCACACAGAAATTGATTAAACAATATACCACACAGAACTGATTCGTTAAATATCACCCCTCCCTTGCCCTCTGCCTCCAGCATACTCCCTTAGAGTAGTACCAGGCAGGGAAGACCTAACTATTGGGAGGAATCCCTAACACTTTTTCAAGTTAGAATTCTGGCTAGTCCAAAAGGGTTCCTTCTTTTAAGGGTTTCAGGAAACTAGACACTGCAACTTTATTAGTATCGGCGACGTTTTTTTGGAGCAAATTCAGCTCCAGGAGCTGCACGGTTGAATGCAGGAGGGGTTCCACCAATTGCCCCGATTCCTTCCATTGTAGCAGCTTGGCCAAAGCGTTCACTTGTTGGTGGGGTCAGTCCCAATGTTCCATCTGGCATCATAGTAGCAGGTCCTGGAGGAGCTGGGGTACCAGCCGGCACAGGAGCAGGGGGCATGGCGCCTCTGTTGTTTATGCCCATAGCACCTCCCATAGCCATCTGGCCCATCCGAATCTCTTGTTCTCTCGCATCAGGGAAGGTTCCCTTGAATCCTTCCTGCTGTCGCCGCATCATCTCTTCTTGTTGCCGCCGCATCATCTCTTCTTGTTGCCTCCGCATTTCCTCTTCACGGCGCCTACGCTCCTCTTCCTGCCTGAGCTCCAGTTGCTTTCGTTTTTGGACCTCTTGGTTATGCAGCTCTTCCATTCTCCAAAGTTCTTCTTGGCGTCTCATCAAATCTTGCCTCATCAGCATAACCTGGTGCTCATGGCGAGCAGCCTCCATCTCCATCTCTAGCTTCTCACGAGCTTCCTTGATATTGCGGTCCACTTGATCCTGCTGCTGCTTCTCCATCTCAATAAGTGCCTTCCAGCGCATGGCATACTCATATTCAAAGGATTTGCTGCATTCTATTTGCCAGTATTATATTGAGAATCTTTGCATCAATGTTCATTAGTGAGATTGGCCTATAGTTCTCATTTTTGGTTGGGTCTTTCTCTGGTTTTGATATAAGGGTAATACTTGCCTCAAGGCATGATTTAGGAAGGATTGCTTCCTTTTCAATTTCATTGAAGAGTTTAATGAGTATTGGCATCAAATCTTCTCTGAATTTCTTGTAGAATTCCACTTTAGTACTCTAACAAAAATGCTCTCATTGACTAGTGAGCAGGAAAAAACTTTTAAATTTTTAACTTTAAGTGGTTTTCTAAAAGTGTAAAAAAGCTTCTTTCAATTTTTGGTTACAGTTTAAAATGTTAACATATGATAATGAGGTTATCTTCATTTTTACTAGTAGAAAATAATCTCTCTGATATTTCTTTAGTTTCATGTATTCAATTAAAAATCATTCTATGAATTTAGCAAGATATAAAAACGTGATAACTTCTGTAGTTAAAATTCTTATGCATAATTCAGTACTTATACACTATCTTCTTACACAGATACAAATAGCAATGTCACAGAGTACTTTAAAAGTTTAAAAGGCTTGATAGAACAAGGGGCTCTTATAATTACGAAGTCTACATTTAGAACTTGCTCCTGGCCAGGCTTGGTGGCATATGACTGTATTTCCAGAGACTCCAGAAGCTGCGGCAGAAGGTTGTAAGATCAAAGTGAGCCTGGGCAGCTTAGCAGGACTTCATCTCAAAATACAACAAAAAGGGAAAAGAGGTGTAGCTCAGTGGTAGGTACACTTCCTAGCATGTGTGAGGCGCTCAACACAATCACCAGGACCATAAAAAGCAAACGAGCAAAACAAAACAAAATCTGTTTCTGAAATATGAAATCAAACATACAAATGGTAAAATAAAACAATATGTGGTTGGTACAAATTTATACGTTTTGGCTGTCTTTCTCCATTTGTAGTTTTCTATTGGGGTGGTTTCTTTTTCCTTTTGATTTTGAGAGATTTTTGTTTATTAGGACTATTGGTCATTTAGCCAATGTGGCAGTTTCTTCCACTTTGGCTTATTGATTGCTGTATACTATATTTGAGATGATTTTTCCACATAAGTCTTTATAAAGAGGCTTTCAATTTGTTTAGTTAGTGGCTTGTAATTTTCATATTTTAAGAAATGCCTATTTTTTTCTTACACATTTAAATTTTTTTAATTGTACAAATTAATGGATGCAGTGTCATAATTTGATATGTGTGTTAACTACTTTGATATATAAGACAAACCCACACTGAATATCATACTGAATGAGAAAAAGATCTGGACCATGAAATGTACGTGCACTGTCATCCTTGTTTTTCTAGTCAGGTTTATTTGAAGTCCTATGAGCCTGCTGTACCCAAATACTCATATGTTTCTCAAGATTGGAACTTAGCTACTATTTCAGTGGCTAGATTTTTCAATTCCTCTTCCCCTTTCTCATCATTAGATAGGGTACCACACAGACTTAAGTGCTGGGGTCATAGTCGGTCTTCTCAGTTAATCTGGATTCATGGGGCTGTAGTCCTTTCTTCTTGGGTGGTGGAATTCTGTGGGATCCCAGGGATTTGAATATGCAAAGGTTTCTGAGTCCTAAAATAGTATGACTTTAGATAATAGCTCCTTTGCTAAAATGGTATCAAGCTATAGCCACCTGGGCTCTAGAAGTTGACAAGGACAAAGCATGAGTTCCTTATCCAAACTAAATCTATTGTGCAGGCTCCAGATCGCTCTTCTACCTGAGCTGAAAGTTCACGATGCCTGTGAAACTTTCCAGAAGTGATAATTGCCCATATGTATTTGTTGTTGTTTACTGGACGCTCTTTTACCACTCCTCCTTCAAAGAGAAGTCTCCTTTCCTAACTGAGGAACTGGGATAATAGTTGCTGGAGCACCTTTTTCCTGTTTCTGTGCTTCTGTCTCAGGTCTCCAAGTAGTACAAGATTTCACTTTCTCCCTTCCTAGACTGCAGTGTTCTACCATGGTCACTCACTTCAGAATGCATTTGCCTGCATGTTGCTTTGGTTGTTCCTGAAAAGGTATGTTGGGCACCTCTATTTGGTCATCTTCTAATCTTCTCATGCATGTGTAATTTTATTTCATCCAGTTATTTGGCTACATTATTAAGAGTAAAGGTCAGCACCATTTGTGGACCATGGGGAGGAGAACAAGAAGCGAGCCACTTCCTGTGAGCTGGTTCTGTGCATGAGCTGTGGGGAGGACAACCAGATGCCAGCTTCTTCCTTTTGGTCAGCACCCTTCACAGACCATGGGGAGGAGAACAAGAAGCCAGCCACTTCCTGTGAGTTGGCACCATGTGCAGGCCATGGGGAGGACAACCAGATGGCAGCCCTTTACAGTGCTCAGGCTGGGAGACAAGAATGAGCAACCAGCTGAACTGGAGAAACACAGGCTGAGATGATAGCTACTGAAATAAAATACAACTTAATGCTTGTAGCAATTAGTATTTCATTCACTTTGTAGGTGTAAAGCCAGAAATCTGATCATCTATTTAGAGGATAACAGTACACTGTATAACATCTATGAGTAATCTGCTTTTGAAGATGCCCGCCATTGTTAATTCCCTCTTATCTTATTTTAAAGTCCTATATTGTTTTCATTGTTTGGTTTGGTTTTATTCTGTTTGGTCTTGTTTGATTTTATTATATCTGATGGCATGGGCAGCTATTACAAAGATAACAAGATATATTATGGTAGTCATTTTGGATTCACTATTATCTTGTTTTGAAGTCCATTCATTGAAGAAGGAAGTGGCTAGAGGATGAGTAACTATGAGAATGGATATTACATGGGTACTGTGAGCTGGGCTAGCTAGGAAGCCAGAAAGCACCCCTGCAATATGCAGAGAGAAAGATATGCAGAAAGGCCTATCTGCATCACAAAATTGAGATAGCATTTAATGTTTAGGAGGCTGGTGCTTTAGTTTTTGATGTGCCAATTTTTGTGCCCTGGGAAGTCATAGCCTCTTATTTGGAGGCTGGAACCCAGTTTACAGCCCTGGAGCACAAGCTCTGCATCCTGCTGGGCTCAACCATTTAGGTAAACTTTTTGTTTAGCTTTTTGTGGGACTTCTGACCTCCAAAACTGTACAATAATAAATTTGTATTATTTTCAGCCAATTGGCCTGTGGTAATTTATCATAGGAGCAATTGAGAACTAATGTACCTTCTCTTATACATGAAACAAGAGAATTAAGTTGGCATTAATTAGTTAGTTAATCCACACACAGTATTATGACAAAATGTGGGAGATTATCCTGAGGATTAAAGAATCATATTCTTTTCTAGAGATAATTGTCTGTGGATGTACCTGACATTTTTAGAATTTTTAGAGACATACAAGTGAGTATCTACAGTAATAATATTAAAACATTATTAAAATAAACTTTTACTTATAAGAAGCTGTGAAAGGGCAAAGGATTTAGCTCAGGGAGGCAGTGCCTGCCTGGCAAGCAAGAAGTCCTCAGTTTGATTTCTGGTAAAAGAAAAAGAGAAAGGAGAAGAAGGAGAAGGAGAGGCTATGAAACTGTTTAGATTATACAAACTTACACTATAGCAAATTTTAATTTCCTATGTACGTGAAGACTGTATAAAATAAATTCTTATAGCAGCAGAAAATATAAACAGAGAGATTGTTTCTAAAGTACTATGTCTGTCATCATGTATTTTTTGTTGCAGAGAAAATATTAAGTTTAAGCTTGAAAAAGGTACTGTACAATTTATAGTCAAGATGACAGTGTAAATTTAGGCTTTCATTTACCTGCACATGTACAACACACACATACATACACACACACACACATACACCACACAATGCATCAGTAGTAGATAAAAACATTAAGAGTGAAAACCAAAAAGATCTCATCTGACTCAAACATAGATAAATATCCATGGATAAGAGGCATAAGAAAAATGTCACCAACTCTGCTAGACTCTAAATCCAAAAATAAATATTAGTGGCTGGAATTTGGTTTCTGAGGTTAACAGCAACAGAAAAATATGTCATGCAAGATGGAGAACTGAAACTGTAGTCACTATTCAAAGTGAAGGTCTGAGTGGAATTCACCTCTTAAAAAGGAAATGAAGAGACATTGTTGGATTTTCTTTCACCATAGTACATATGAAATGTCAGCCTAAGCAAGGAGATAATAGGCAGAGTCCTTAACTATGAAAGGAAACAAGCCACTAGCTGGCTTGATGATAATAAGGTCAGCATGCAGCAAGGACTGCTAAGTAAGTAACTCCTGATTTTGTCCTTGAAGTCCAAAAATCTGGGCAGACAACCACCAGACAAACCAGGATGAGCACAGAGCAAGAGAAAGTAAGAGAAAAATGACAAACAAAAATATTGAGTGTGTATTCTAACAATGGAATACCATGTAGATTAAATTTAGTGACAGCTACATAAGTTAACTGTTGGTAACTCTAAAAAAATGTCAAGTGAAAAAGTTGTGAAGTTACACTAAAAGAGTTTATGTAAAAGTTCATAAATATGCAAAATAATTATATAGAACTACTCATGACCACACTTATATAATCTACATAAACGATGTAGATTATGATTTTAATCATTTTCATGATTAAAATTTTTAGCTGATATAAAGGTTTTTGTTTCCCTGATTATAATATAGTAAATTAAGCATATTTATTTTTGCTAGCTTATTTATTTCTTAGAAAAAACCAAGTACTGATGATCAATGTATACAAATATGTTTCTTAACAGATATTTTCTGAGAGATGCCTTGTTAACCAATGTCATTGCTGTGTCTACATGACAGTGTACTCACTGCCCTGGATGGGGTAGCCTACTACACACTCAGGCTATATGTTATTGGACCCTGCTCCTAGGCGAGTGTGTTACTCTATACCAAATACTGTAGGCAATTGTAACCCAGTAGTTACAGAACCAGGAACTGTTCTGAGTGAGTCAGTGAGTGGT